ACTAAGCAAAATCTAGGCAAGGATATTGCCTTTAAACGTTTCAATTTTAAAAGATAAACGTCATGTTTGTACCTATTGTTTATATATTGAGGAATTTGGTGGCATATAAAACATGAGATGACCGTTAAAGAATAAAGAAAAAATTAGGGTGCTATCATGAAGATTGAAAACACAGTAAAAATTCTAAATTATATATTGAATTTTAGATAGATGCAAGGTATTTTAGAGATTAAGAGTAGATGGGCTTCTATGAATCTCTTAGTCTAAAATTTTTATCGAGCTTTTATTTAAAAAATGAAAGTCTCCAAAATAAATTTTAGATATCCTTTTGAAAAGTATCAATTGCCATAAAGTCGGTTTTGAGCTTACTCGAATCCAAAGCAATCCTGAACAAAGTGGCTTCTCCATGGACTCTGGCGAAGCGGTGAGTTTGAAGCAAATCACACCGAAAGGCTGCAGATCACATGGTACAAAACAACTCCCTGTCCCTGAGGTTCCTGACGAGGAGATACACCCGGACGGACCAACCAGGCCTGTGGCATTTGGCATGACCATCATATCAAGCTGAGGGAATTTGATGTGTCTGTTTGACCAAGTGGATGGGCTGATACGGCAGCCGGTGTCAAGAGGATGTGCGTGAACCGAAGTTCCGATATCAGAGAATCGAGCCACTCGACGGCCTATTAGATCAAAGCAGCTTTCACTGGTATAAAGCGCAGAAAAAATAAATTGTGCATTGATATTTGTGTGCATAAAAGATCAAGAAAAAAAGGATTGATCAGAAAATAAATAGCACGCACCAAAAAATTTACTAAATGACTGCAAGGTTTCGTGTTTCACAAAGAAAATCATAGTGAGATCCTCTTTTGATTAAATGAAATTGATAAAGAATCTTATGTGGTAAAGCTGGGACATTATTTCATTATCTGCATTCGAGTCGTGCTAAGAAGAGAATAATTGATATTTATGTATCTTGACTCGGATTCAACTTGGGATCAAAGCATCAACAAGACTTAAGATAGTGATGATCATGCTCTCAGATGGCATCTAATCTGTGCTTCTGAATTATATAAGGAGAAAAGCTAGATATTGAGCAACGTTAAGTTCTGAAGTATATTTGTGCAGCTTAAGAACACGATAAGACAATTGTGAAAATGAGGCTTATTAATTAGATAATCTTATTCAAAATGATAAGGGCAATTCTAAAAATCATAATTAAAATGGTAAATAGAAATATCTAGATAGAAATCTGTTGATAGATGTTCACAAACATCGGGTTGCGAGTTAAAGATCTTCACCTTAGTTTGATTACTCTGTATGCCATCAGAACATGAACAATCAGTAAGTCCAACCGAAATTAGAGCTAATTTAGAGTCCCAAATATTCAAATTCAAATATTTATTTCGTTAAGAGTAAGTATGAAGCGCTTAACGAAGATACATCAAACCGTGGATGTGAACGATGTCTCAAAATAGTTAGTAAAGAAATAAGAGGTTTCCTCAAGAATCAAACTGAAATCGTCAAAGCATTAAAATAACAAACGTTGGCGGCTGCAATACTACCTAATTCGTAAAGCCTTTGTAGGTCATTCTTGTCTTAAGGCTTGGTGAATAATGCGTAAAGCACGGTTTTACCCTTTGAAGATGTCTGTCACACGGCCGGCGAAAGCTGAGAAGGGATTAATCAGGGTCGAAGAATGATGCATTGGGGACTATTCCAAATTAAATCAACGGCCACAAAAACAAGGCAATCATATAGCGACGACAGGAGGATTGTCTCAGAGTTATCATTCCCGATTTGTGTTTAGGCCTCAGCCCACTGCCCTGCCCGAGGGGCCTTCGGAATATTAAACCATTCTTCCAGAGAAATCCATCATACACTAAGTAAAAAAAGGGTTGCAACGCTACTTACTTTCTATTAACTGTTAGATTATTGGATGAATCAAGAGAGTCTAACTTCGCATTTTAAATAAATTTAAAACAAGGTTTCGGGAAAAAATTTCAAACTGTTATTTGGAGAGAAAAGCTAAAAAAGTAAATTTAAATCCAGGGCAAAGAAGTAT